AGCAAATACAAACAGTTTACGATAGCCTGTATTCATTTCTACAAATTCTACAAATAGGCATGACCTTGCTGCTCATTTTTGGAATTTGTACCTGGTACCTCCACCTGTGGTACAATAAAATAAATGCAAATAGTATTGTGTTAAGATTTACGATTCTTAATCTCCAGTGGCCTACAATTTATGATATTTTGGTAATATATGAAGCAGTAATCACACAGAGCAGTATGTAATAAAAACCAGATTTGACCTAGCAACTTAAATATTTGTGTCGATTTTATTTATTTGTTTTCTATCAGTTGTGATGAACATTTGTACCTATTCAGTCTTGTAGACAAGTAATATAACACTGCACTTAAAATAAAAACAAATTCCACCACTTTTATTCTATTTTTTTTTATTGCGACAAAGTTACAAAACTATCTTTTCATTCTACCTGGTAATGATAACATAACAGTTTTCAACCATTTCTATCCAGCTGTCTTTAAACAGCTGACCCCTCAGTGACCCTGCAAGTTACCACCCCCCATTAGATAATGGTGCAATCTATATTAGTACCATTCCATTCAATAGACACATCTTTTGAAAGCACGCTATGCCAGGTTGTACAGTACTTTATTGAAACTAACATCCATTCGGAAATCTAAATGGTACATTGTTACATCCCAGATAAACGTTCCAAACAGTGTTAATAAAGGTGTCGTTTTTTAGAGTATGGGATTTCTATTCTAGTTGGACATCCCATGGAAAAAAAGTAACGCACTTTTCTGTGTAAAAAAACACATTACGAAGTACTTATATTCACACGCACACATATCACTATAAAGCTTAATGAAATCAGCCACTACAATAGGGTCTATGATGAAATCAACTATAAATGCGTTTCTTTTCTTTCGCAGTAAGAACAAATTACGAGACATTTTGTGTACAGTTTTTGCAGAGTTACACATGGGATGCGTGGCACGCACGATTTAACATTGTACAAATGAAGTCAGGAATGACACAACAAAGTGAGGGAAATACGAGTACAACAACGGATGCACTATGAATGACCCTAGTTGGAGGCGAGAGTGCAGTTCGAATTCGCCATACAAGCGGCCGATACATGACAACATTGCGTACATGATGTACATATTAACACATGCATGAATCCCTAATAATTATTTAAGTCAAATCTTCTGAATTAATGTCCTGTGTTGCCGGGTCAAAGGAACAAAGTAAACACTTATGTATCCACACGTAATTTACTCGCTTTGCCAGAAAAGTACTGACTATTTAACTAAACAATTTCATAATATACTATTTGTGACAACAAACAAAAAAAAGCAACTAAAACAAAAATCCACATGTAAAACGTCCACTCCAAACACTAACAAAAGCATACATTTAATGGTAATGTCAATTTTTACCTCTTGTAAATTTGTGCAATGAACGAGTTTTACCAGTCACAGGCCAGTTTAGAGAGATCAGTAATCCAACGCAAAAAGATAGATACTACTCTCAATAAAAATGAGGCAGAGTGAAATGACCTCTAAAAGCAATAGATCCCATCACATATAAATATAACAGTTGAAGTGCAATGGTTTCTTTTCACTGCCAGTTTACAAATCGAGGTAATAAACTACTTCATAAACATTTACTTGATACATCCAGCAGACTTTTGTAGATAAGACAGAGATTTTAACTGTCACATTCCCAGTTAGAAAAAAAAAACATAAAACAGCAATCTCTGAAACAAAAGTTTGTAGCAGGATATAATCATTCCCGGTGATAAATGAGTTTAGATTTGGTCTTGAATTACACACTGAGTAACAGTAGCCAGGCGTCTTTAAAAATCAAGATCTACAAACTTTTCTTGTTGGTTATTTTATCTTTCACATATTGGGACTATACGTTTTATCAGATGAACGGTAATCCCATGGCTCAGATTTTCTTTAATACTTCAAATATATTCAATTTTGACATGCTTTTTGTTTATTTATTTAAAAAAAAAATTTTTTTTTTTACTATTTACTAAAACTAAAATGTTACAACAATTGCAAAGCCAGATTATAATTCTGTTATTTCATCTTTTCAGGGAATCTTTCATTTCTATGGTAATTTTTATCTGAACACGCAGGTATTATTTCCCATTATTTGTTGAGTTCAGCCCAACAATGGGATGCTAAACATGCTGTTATCAATGAAAGCCAACATTGAGTTGTCAATCTGAGTCCAACGTTTTTATTTATTTGCTACAGCATGAGGTGTTAAGTAGAGATTATTGTTGGTTTTGTTTTTTGTTTATAGTAATAGGAGTGGCCTCACATTGGGTAATTATTACGCTGATTTAAATATTTATTTTGGATAAGGACTTACAAAGTTTAGTAAGTTTGTTGTTCTTGATGGGTTTTTTGGAGAACAAATTTGAAAAAAAATAATAAATATGCTTATTTTTATGTATTTTTCAAAAATTAAATAATTAAAATTTTTCATTGCCTACAAGTTTCAATAAAAATCTAGAAAATATATTATGCAAGTTTATTTTTTGAAAGGTGAGAGTGATATTAATTTTGTCATTCGAGGAATTTTCCAGTGACAATGATTTGAAATGTGGAAGAATACAAAAATGAAGTTATGCCATTCTAAGGAAAGGTATCAGCAAACATGTGATTTTAGTAAATACCTAACATAGAATACACATTACCAACATGTACATTCCCAATACTGTCACAGTTTGCCAATCAAAATGTCCTAATTACAAAATACAAGATATATTTATTTATTTCAGATAATTTGTCATTCAATCTCCACACATCAAGACTGTGGTGTGCACCTACTTTCCATGATGTCAACAGCCCAGCCGCCACCCCCTTCTCCTAAATAATGGGAAAGGCAACAATGAATGCTATAAGCATTTACAGTGCATGTTTTGAAATAGATCCCATTGGAAGCAAGTTGCCCTTGAAAATCTATCAACTGTGTCCAGTTTCATTGCTGTCCAACCCAATAAGAGTGGTGCAATGTGCACTCAAATAAACAGACATTAATGTCTGTATGATGTTAGTCTTATTCTTTTTTTGAAACCCCCACCTCAAGTGAAACCCACCCCACCCCATCATAATTGGTATGCAAGTTTTCCAGTGATTCTCACACCACGCATTGACAGTGTGTTGTTAGTCGCATTGCATTCAAACCAAATCGCTAGTTCAATTGAACTGAATTTAGTACGTGGCCCCAGGATATCTCGCTACAACAGTCATAGAAAAAAAAAACATCCATCTAAAGTACATCCATCTTTATAGCAACTGTTCTGACTATTCATCAAAAGTGTGCGCGCTTGTGTGTCAGTGGTGACCGTTTATGAACATAAAAACTTTTACCCTAACCGACGATGTACACCGGTTATGGCCGCTGAATTCAGCACCGAACAGTTTTACATCCGTCACCACTCCGGGTCGACACACTTGAGATACATCACTGACTTTATTAAATTTACCGAACAGCGGTATTTTATTTCATCTATTGGCGAGAGTGCCATAAACAGGGGTTTTCATTTCTCAATTGAAACTAGGGACAATAATAAAAGCGAGTCCATTGTTCACAGTCAGGTCCCTAGCTTAGTTCGCACCTCGGTTTTGGCAGGTCTTACGACCCGAGCGCAGAACAGTAGATCGCGTCTCGACTTACACGGGATGACACTTCTCGTTGACCCCCCTTGTCCACTTGACCGAAGGGAGGGGCGAACACGATATTTAACGTACCAAATTGACACAGATCGTGGATGGACTTCGGCGCGTTGAACGAGATTACGTTGACTGTATTTGTCACACGGTTTAGAATTCAGAATCTATTATTGCCCGACTTTATCCGCGCTTAGTTCCGTTCAATGTGTATAAATATATTTAACTTTGCTGCGTTTTTATTAATAACTTTAAGTCGAAAATGTTAGAAATACTGACTGGGTAGATAGCAATTCCGTTGAATGATCGGCTTATTTTCTCTGAGTACCTGTTGCTTGTTTTGTATTTGTTCGAATCTGACACAATTACCAATTTCGCGAAGGCACATCTTCCGTTTTGAAAACGCAACTTTCGGCGTGGGATAAAGCACCGACTAGAGCCTAACAGTAGTGTATCAATAGGCACTCGCCAACTGTGTTTTTTACGACTCGTACAATACACGCAACGTAATTTATGTCCGAAGCCAGCTTCCTCGGTCAATAACTCACCATCACGCCAGTTGAACTCAGGCAGACGCGTGTTTTATTAGAATTGAACTCGATACGCTAGTCACCAGAAATGTTGTCAGGCCGCAAACGTGAACTTGTCCCCCTCGCCACGAGAATTTTCTCAAAGCAAACGATGTTTACAAGTTAAATACATCGACGGATCTATTAATTCTGACTCAATGTCATCAATTGGCGTTGTTAAAACAATGTTTAATTTTTCACCTTTTAACCGCAAAAGAGAGAGAATTGCAGCCAGTTTTGTAAGCGCAGGACCTAATCGCAACTTTATAAAAGTTACTCTTGCACCAGGGTCACTAGTTAAGTCAACTGTTTCCGCTGATCACACAAAGAGCCAGTGGTGTGTTTTTCCTTCCGCCAATATGCCAGTGGTTCTCACTCACTCCGATCTCGGATCCAGTAACAAAGTGGTTTCAAATCTTTCTTGTTAAATAAAACCTCGGTTATTGATCGAACGAGAAAAAAAACACTGCCTAAGACAACACTCTATGTAAAGCTTTTGACTCAAGCTACTCAACATACGATAATCCACGACTCTTAGCTTTTAAACAGTCCAAAGCGACCAGTGTACAGATCTCGTTTTTATGAATGAAATCAACCTCCCTTCATGAATGTGGGACTAACAACAAAACAACGCCTGTCGTCAGTGAAATCAGTGGTGTTTGGTGTTACTATCAGGTGAAAGTGTATACTAGTCGACGCAGTGTTTGTAATTATAAAGAAATAACAGTGATGTGCAAAAACGGGTATCTTATAACGCCAACTAGTTACCCACCTTGCTGTAGTACAGTCGTTGTAGAGAATGTCAAACTCATCCCGGGTCACCAGTTTACAACGATTCACTCCTGGCTGTATCGCACCCAACCCACGAAGGATTCGGACCTGTTCAACGTTGCAAACAACAGGTGTAATATCAAGACGTTTCAGTTTCGTATACACCGTATGTAAACCACCGACCAAGTGCTTCAGGAACAGATCAAACGCCTGCGGTAGACAGATCATCTCTCGTGCATCGATCGAGAAACTGGCCACTTTAGCCCCACGATACTCCACCATTTTACACTCATTGTTGGCCGGATCATTGCTTACTGGCGGTGGGGTACTGTAGGCAGGCTTGTCCAACTTAAACAGCACCTGGGTAGGAGGACTGAGCGACGTAGCTATACCGGCCAAAGACATGTTGTTGCCCAAGATAGCAAAAGAAATCGAATGAAACACATACACAACGCACACAGCGTGTTTCACTCAAAGGTCACGGACTCTACCATTCTTCACAAGGGGGTGTCACCCTAGATCGCGAACGTTTTCACAAAAGAAATTGGAACTAACGCGAATGATTTAAATTGAAGGATTCTGTTCTATGACAGACCAAATTGAAAGCAGCTCGCATCGATAAGTGCGCTACACACAAAACTGTTTCTCCCGGCCACTTTTAGAAATTAAAACCGTTAAACCAGAACTTGAGGGCGCATCACGGCCTCCGCTTTGGTCGGGACTACTTTTGCAATAGGAATAAATCATTTGGACTCACACTCTCATTGGATTTGGGATAATAATACATTTTATAGGTATTTCTAATTGCATTTGACTTCAATAACTAAATAAATCCATTTTCAATTTTCTCCCGCTTATTGTTGTACAATACCGACTAATGGGTAATGCCAGAAATGGGGATTACGTATTCATCATGTGATTAAATATCGAGACAAAAATGCAAAGCCCAATTTACCGCTATCATACATTTAAATTTCTTCTTATTGTGTGATGCATGGTTTTATCAATGGGGGACGTTCTTGACATGAAATCAGTCCCCTTTCACGTATATTTCTCCAGTCTTTTCACTCCACTCGTTAGATTGGGAACACGTCATACCGCACTTTTCATTCCCTGACTCCCCCGGTAGAGGATTTCCAAAGAAAATACGGTCTGAATTTTAACATTTGGTAATCATAAGATTTCGATCAGAAAATGGAAAGTAATATGTACCTGGCGCCGTGAATCTGTTTTCCACTCGCCCGATTTGTTAAGTGCCATCGGCTGCTTGTCGTCCAAATTAAATGCTCGGATCTGTCCGTATGGCTGTTTGGTAACATTTATAGTGGATTTAATACTTCTGTCTTCAGTGTTGGATCTTGAACAGCTTATCCGACTGTTCCAGCTTTAATGTGGACATAATCTCGAATTACTCGCTACGTGAGCTTTATCTAATCATAGTAAAGTCTCTCGAGTAGTTTTGGCTTCTTGATTTTGTTCAATCCCGGGAAGAAAATCCTTCCTGAACTAAGGTGGCTCGCGCCGGGCGTGCGCACACTAATGGTCAACTGCGCGCCTTTTTTTTATTACTCTTAAAGATACAGTAGTGTATACGTCTGAGTCAATTTATCTCACACGAACAACTAGGCAAAAGGTGTTATTAGACTTTTGTTTTAAAAATGATATGTATTGTTTTAATATGATACTGCACACGACATGATGTGGTTTAAATTAGAAAATTTATGATTATAAAATAAAGTATTTGCTCCAAGTACATTGAGTCGTCTCTTGACCACGGTTGAGCGGGAGCTGCTGAACAGTCACAGGTTTCGTTTCGTCTCAAATAAGTAAAATTAAAAATACACGAACTTGAATTACATTTTGTTTTGTTCGTTTGTGTCTGGACACCGTCCCTCATTTTGAGGGACGGTGGTCTGGATTATAGAAAACAGTGGACTTTTGTGACAAAGAAAATGAAACGGGTTTCAATTTTCTGATGACAATCGATTTTATTCGGAGTGTGGTCGCATAAGACGATCTAATTATACAAAAGAATGGAATCCGTAGCCGAACACATTTGGCGCGTTTTTCCGCTTCATTTACTCGTCAGTAGTTGATTTCCATTGCAGCTATTACAGAGACATTCTCTGCATCTCTTATAGCCCATATAACAATCGATTGTCGAGTTTTCCCGCCAAATTCATTACCGCACAGTTTTTATTTACTCATTTTTGTATTTTTGCCGTATCGCGGTAGTTCTATCGGTCGTTTTGGACACTGGATCTTCATTTCGTTATTTCCATAGTTCCGATGTATAAAAAATACAACTTAATGATTAAATGAGGCTTATTTTTTATAAAAATGATACTGTTTTCGTCTTCGTTGCACTTGAATATGTTCGTGTGGGTGAAAACAATACGTCACTGAATTGAACGCGCGGTTTCAACGTGGTGTACCTTCTCACGAGCCAAAGGTACGTATTCGTCGCTGATTTAACATCTTTTGAAGTCAAAAACAAAAGAAAATTGACGAGCTCATGATGCAAGTCACGTTTCCTTGTCACATTCTCTAACTGACTTGAACTTGAAAAGACCACGGACTAATCTTTTTTATGCTAATTCTGTCCATTACACTGACTAGGCGGTGACTTATGATTCGCTAGGAGATTAGAATTGGCACAGCGCTGAACAGGAATCGTTGAAATACAATTTCCAAAATTCCAGGCAAAAAATATCTCTGTTTTCTCGTAATCGCCGACAGCATGGCGCTAAGAGCGGAAATGGAACTGCCCCGACCCGTGTAAATTGTGCGTTTTTCAGAAAAAAATGACGAGTTCAATACAAATAACAAAAAACATGTACACTCGATCACGAGAAAGCGATACACTTCCAAACGCAATGACGAAAGTTCTTTTTCGCACGCAAAAAATACAAAAAAAAGACATTGCGTGCAAAGACTGGAATAACAATAAAAAAAATAATACATATTGAAGAATGGAGGAATTACAAGCCTTTATTAAACCGCACTACCATCAGTTATCAGCTCAAGCCCAGATAAATTGAAATTTACAAAAAAACAATGTCACGTGACCACCACTATGAGGAAATTAAACAATATAGATATCAACATTCGCGAAACCTGTCGTTTTTCTTGTTGTCAAGGAGGAAACGGTTTCCATGAATGCAAAAACCTCATTTAAAAAAAATCGAAATTCGATGAAGAACTCAGTGTTTTTAATTATAGCATATTTAATCTTGGTTCACTTGATCAATGACCACGTATGAATGTATAGTTTATTTGTCATGAGACGAAACAAGAGACAGCTGTTGAGCGTTTTTTATGTTTATTGCAAGTGGAAAATTTAATATAACTGAGATCAACGAAATGGTAATATCCGTGACTTGGGGATAATAGCCCCGCTCTCGCCAAGGCAACCGATGATACGAATGATACTGAATCACGATACTATCAACGATGATCGATCTTTTCTTGCACAAATCGCTCACCATTTTATTCTCCTATTAAATTCATTTTCTGCAGTTTTTCGTTTCCAGTCATGACCAATTTGAATCGATCTATGTCAGTGTTGAAAATAGCTGTTTTGTTGCAGGCGTCGATAGAGAAAGAGAGAGAAGGGGGCATGGACATGAATTCGTATAGTTATCGCCGTGGTAAACGAAGACACGGTACACGTGGTGTTACTTGTTTTGTTTCAACAATGAAAAAAAAAAAGCTTATAACATAATATAATAGCAGAGTCCTTGGAATAAAATAACTATTAATCAAAGGCATATATCAACTTCTGTCACTGCTCCCGTCACTATTCGACCGTCTCCGTTTGGTTTGGCGTTTTATTAATGCAAACACTCACGATGCATGCCTATATTTGACTGTAAACGGTATATCATTGTTAACAACAGACAGCAAGATATCCATATACGATTTTTTTTCATGGTTCGTTTATTGTAATGTTTACAAGGTCGATTACACCATGGAGCTCTTTTTTTAGCTCCATGATTAAACTGATAGGAACGCACACCATTCTCATTATCGGAGACTACAGGTATTTGTTATCGCAAAAGAAAGTGTGACGGTGTTGTAGACAAATATGACAATCGACGATGTGTTTAAGTTTGACGCCTTTTTACGCAGACCCATAGGGGATAGTTACTGGTCGTGCTAACGTGTACCGGGTGTGACACAGCGTAATTTCTCTATACGGAATTGCCGTTTCATTGATATTAAAACCATAGTGTATCGTATCGCGATAGAATAGGGGCAGTAATTATGGTCGCTCGGTGCCTTATCATACACTAATTTCATCATTATGGTAACAGGTAAACAGCGAGGACCGAACAGCGCCATCACACGTCAAGGCAGGCAGAATATACCGGAATATGTTCCAATCAATTATCGCAAGAAATTAACACTCTTTCTCTCTGTTTAGATTGCGATCATCTCGATGACGTCACCGGTTTAGATTGCAATTACAGCGACGACGCGATGTAATTCGTAATATTTTGGGACAGAAACAAATTGTAATACTTGATAGCAATAGTATTCTAATTTCCCAATTCCCCCCACTGTCAATGTCAAATTGAGAATTACTTGAACTTGCAATTACTTAGATGTGCAGTTCGGGAGATTGGATGGTTGGGGTCAAGCCGGATTTGTCTCATTTGTCGAAGTTAAATACTAGTTGGAGTCACAGATTACATGAATTTACCTGATTTATTATTTTATCTTTATTGAATTCCTCATCGGCTACCACCACCCTCACCCCGGGGACTGACTAGCGACTAAAACTGAATTTATAACTCGATAGATGGTTGACCGCCAACCTGAGCACCAAGGTGTGTTTATGTGTTGAAATAGAGAATACAAATGTTCGCAAACTTTTTGCTGGTGACTGTCGACAAAATTAATAATATCGAGACTTATAGATATGGTATGATATTACGGTTGTTTCTTGTTGAGTTTCGTTCAAATGTCTCGTACAAATAGCACCCGACCAACCGAGACTGTGAACGAATCATCAGGTCGTTAATATTAAATCACTAGTACTACCATCATTTGTGGCCACTGCCATTTATGTATATACATATTTATATACCTTTCGTAGTCAATAACGCAGTTTGAACGGGTTGCAGGCATGCAATGCATGGATGAATGAATCCAAATGACATTCTATTCTTAACATCAATATCCTCTTTGCATCTTTAATCCTAGAAAACAAAGCTGAATATATGACAGTCAATAATAAAACTATCGGAACAATGATAACAAAATGTTATTAAAAACGGAAACACGTGTGACCATTGCAATTTTGAATATTTGTACAGTGTGTACATTTGATGCACTGCTTGCAAATATTACAGTATAGTTTGAACTTAAGTTTGTACCGACCCGAGTGTGTGAACACATATCAAAACATGAACTAT